CTGTTTCTGGAAGCCAGAGTTTGGTGTCAGACTGTCTTTCTTGTCTCTTGTTCTTTTTCTGAGACGTATTCTTTCATTGAACCTGAAGCTCACAGGCTCACAGGTTGGGCTAGACTGTCTGGGCAATGAGCTCCCAGGTTCCTCCGGTCTCCGCCTCCGAGAGCTGGAGTTACAGGTGTGGATGCCATGTATGGTTTTTATATGGGCACTGGGGATATGACCTCAGTTCTTCAGCCAGACCACTGTGGCAGGCAAGGCACGGCAACAGGTGTGTGAGGTGGCTGGTCACGTGCCATGCACAGCCAGGAAGCAGGAGAGATGGACGCTGGTGCTCAGTGCCCTTCTTTTTATTCAGTCCAGGAAATGCTGCCACCCATAGTCACGGTGGGGACACACTCACAGGCTTGTCTCCTGGGTGATTCTGAACACTGTGAAGCTAGTAATCAATATTAACCATCTCAACCGCTACGGTCATTCTTAACCTCAGAGATATGAGACAACGGAGGGTCGGGGCCTTTCAACTCTGAACCTCACACTCTGTAGGAGAGCTCTAACAGGGTGGCCCCTGTGAGGTTTCAGCATGGAACGTACAGTGTGCCCATGTGTTTGAATGAAAACACTTAAAAAGGCCTGCTATGGGAGCAAGTAGAATACAGAAGCTCCAAGACAGATCTCATTAAATAAATCCTATTTGTAGGAGCAGGCCCAACCCCTAGCTGCTGTGGGCAGCCGCCCTGACTGCTCCTTCTTCTATTGTCATCCAGCATGGGCAGATCTAGAGTGTGTACCCATCTTCTACCACCACAGTGTAAGAACTCCCCCGAATGGGTTGTGGCTTTTGGTTTTCTCAGCTCCTTTATGCCTAGGACAAGATGCTAAGAGGGGCTTCCTGACGAAGGGAGTGGGACAGTCAGAGGGAAATACTAAGAGTAAGTCTTGACTATGGAATTCCTTCCACTTTTCAAGACTGCCTGCTCTCTAAGCAGATGTTCTGACCACATTTGCTGGTTATCAGCTGCCTCCCTTCCAAAATACCCAGCGTAGGAACAAGTCACAGGCTGCAGTCTGTCAGACCTGTGTGAGCCAGAACCAGCTGCTGCTTCCGATGTGGGTAGTTCTGAGTGAGTTCCCACACTCGCCACAGTGTCCATGGGCCCGTGTGTAAAATGTGAAGAACAGTGTCTGCCTTGTGGAGCTATGTAAGTGTGTTAAATGCATTGTGCGTGAGCCAGAGTTCAACGTGGTCCCAGCATCACACTATGCTGAATGACATTTGCATACATCCTCTCTAGCCCTCCAGAGCAGTGCCTCTCAACTTCTGGGGTCTATCTCTACACCACTGACCTGCAAACTAGAACCCCCCAGGAGATAAGGAGAGGATGGGGGCTTGTAGCTCTGTTTAAACAAGCTGTGCCCTGTCCATAAATATACATGCATACATGCATACATACATAGATACTACATACATACAACATACTGTAAGAGATTGTGATATGTATTCACCAAAGTAGAAAATTCTGCAAGATGATATTAATTTCCATATTTCTTCCCGAACAAATATGATGTTCCAAAGGCCAGAGGCTCCCAAACTGGGCTGGACTGGAATCCTGTCCCTGCCTGAGGATGAGCCAGCCCCAGAGATTCTGAGGTCAGTCTGGAATATGATGCAGATGTCAGGGTTTCCAGAGAGGTGGGAAGAGCAGGGGGGTCTAGTCTCCAGGCAGGACCAAAAACCATTATACTGTTTGGGTCTAGAATCCAGTTTTCTACAGCAGTGGCCTCGAGGCTCCCTCAAGAGCAGACCAGCTTCTATCAGGGTACACACTGGGCTGCCACTTCACACCGATTTTGCAGAAAGGATGCTCACACTTAAAAAGCAGAAACGTGAGCCGCGGAGATGTTCAGTCAGTAAACTGCCTGCTGCACAAGCTCGGGCACCGGAATTTGACCCCCCACACCCACATTTAGAAGATCCAGACACAGCAATGAGCACCTGTAATTTCAGGGCCAGGATGGGGGGTTGGACAGAGACAAGAGATCTCTGGGACTCAGTGCTAGCCTCTTGCCAAACTAGTAAGTCCTAGGTTCTAGGTCCGGGGAGAGAGCATTTCTCAGAAAAGCAAGGTAGAAAGCAATTGAGGAAGAACACCCGACATTGGGCACTGGCCTCCACACATGTGCACGAACATGGGCGTGTGCACACGTGTGTACATGCACTCACACACACACGGGGTAGGGGAGCAAGAACATGGTAGGTTCGCAAACAACTGTCCCCACCTGCCAGCAAGAGCCTTGCGGTCCCACAGAGCTGTCTGTATTCACTGTTGTGTCTGTCCCAGGCCTCCCAACACACTGGATACTGCATAAATATTTGTAGGAAGGTTGACTCGTTCTATTTATTATATGGCTCCAATTAAGTTCTCAGTTGCTTGGCTCAGCAACCTAACAGTTTTTACAAGCAGCTAAACGCCAACAGCCTCCGCCTCAAATCTCAAACCCACAACAGAGAACAGAGTGGCCAACTCTCCATGGAACATGCTGACATTCCTCCTTGGGGTTAGATACACTGTGTGAGTGCCTAATGACTGATACATATAAGCAAACGTGGATTGCACCAGGCAGGAAGCGGCCAGCACTCTTCAGCAGCACAGGCCTCCCAGCTAGTATTTGGATCGTTTCATCTGAAACCGTCAAATTGCAAGAGCGTGACAAACACCGAGTAGGAACCTCACAGTAAGCAGTAGCTGGCCCTTTGCCAATAAGTTAGATGAGAAAAGGTACCCTGGTATCAAATGCTCAGCTGAATGCCTACAGGATGGTCAGGAGGTGCACAGAGTCTGCACCTCCTGGCAGATCTCCTAGAAGCTCAACCCCAGAGCCCCTTTCCCACCCAGGACCTCCCTTCTAATCCTAGGTTTCTAGCCCCAAAGCTGGTACCCCCCACAGACCTGAGTACTGTAAGAAGTCTAACAGCACACTTCAGATTTCACCTTACTGGCTGCCTCTACAACTCTGGGATGTCACTCAAATTCCTCAGTTCCCAGACACCGACTGTATCATCTCTGCTTTATCAACTCCTTAGAGCTACCACCACCTTGATGCAAATCCTGACTCCATCCACTGCTTCTGGAGCCCTGGGGAAAGCACCTGTCTCAGATGTCAGCAGAAGGCAGCAAGAGCAGCACCTGGTGAGCAATGGGCAGGCAGCGAACCTTAGGGATGACCTCACCTCGGTTTTGAAATCAAGAGTTCTGAAAAGCAAGTTTCTGGCTCTGTCTTTTTATTATGCTTTGGTGACAATACTCACTGGGCAGGAAACCTGATCTTCACTGGTTTAGGCTATTTAGAGTCTTATTGTTATCCTATTTGGTGGAAGCATTCGTGGTTCCTTGGAGAAATAATCCAGAGTTTGACCACGGAGGCTATGCCAGATCATACGGGGAATGTTAACCATATGCGAAATTCATCCCGAATTCTCTCTCTTAAATATGGACAGTTCTGTGTTCTAGAACACAGTGGTAGTCTGGGGAGATGGCTCAGTGGGTGAGAGGACTTGCTTTGAAAGCGCAGTGATCTGAGTTGTTCCCACATGAGAAGCTGGCGTGACCCTGTATGTGATCTAAGCATTGTGAGGGGCAAAGGCTGGAGGACGGCTGGGTCTTAGTCACCACCAGCCTAGCTTCAGGTGCAGTGAAAGACTGCTTCAAAGAAGTGGGCTGAGAGGGCTGGAGCAGGACACCTGATGTCATCCACGTCCTCTGCTTACTGGTTTGTTCCTCATGGCTTGCTCAGCCTGCTTTCTTATAGAACCCAGGACAACCAGCCCAGGAGTGGCCCCACTCACAATGGGATAGGCCCTCCCCCATCAATTACTAATTAAGAAAATGCCCTACAGTCAGGTCTTATGGAGGCACTTTCTCATTTGAGGTTCCTCTTTTCAGGTAACTTTAGCTTGTGTCCAATCAGCACACAGGCTCTCCTCCTCTTTTCACACCTTCACAGATCTTCCTGAAATGTGATGTCTAATGGTTTCTCAAAATTTCCTCCATTATGTGGGATGTCCTTCTGTATATGTGTTGTTTTTTATTGGTTGATGAATAAAGCTCTTTAGGCCAATGGCTTGGCAGAGTAAAGCCAGGCAGGAAATTTGAACAGAGATAGATAGATAGATAGATAGATAGATAGATAGATAGATAGATAGA